CCCAGTGTCTGGCTGAGGCCCTGCTCCTCCCCAGGACTCTGGGCGCTCACACCCGAAGGCGAGGGCTGCACCCCTCCTCTCGCCCAACCCGGCCGGCCTTGGCGAGGGCCTCATGGACAAAAACGGGGCATGAACTCAACCCGACAAGCTCAGGAGAGGCCTGGAGGCGGCCTTTCGAACTCAGAGACCAAAGCAACCACACAGGGTGGTCTGAACTGACAGCCTCTTCCCTGAAAGTGAGTCATGGGGAGGCCGGTGTCTCCCTCGACAGGTTGGTCTGTCACTAAACCTGTTGTCTCTGTGCAACTGAGACGCCACACCTTTCACCCGAGTGACCCTCTCCCAGGCCGCAGGCCAACCGGCTGCCCAGGGACAGGACACGGAGCCTGGCGCCATCTCGTCCCGAACACCACCTCCAGGGCCTCTGAGTGCTCGTCGCTCACTGTGCGATACCCACCGGCCTCAGAGAAGCATTTTCCTTTTTTGTTCTTGTTGTTAATCCTCACCTGGGGATGTTTTCCCATTGATTTTTAGAGAGAGTGGAAGGGACGGGAGAGACAGGGAGACATCGATGGGAGAGAGAGAGAGACAGCGACTGGTTGCCTCCCGCACATGCAATCAAGGTACCTGCCCCGACCGGGAATCGAACCCGGAACCTTTCAGCCCATAGGCCGGCCAACGCTCTGTCCACCGAGCCAAACCGCCTAGGGCTCCGCTTTACTTCTCGTCCAGCCCAGGCGTCTCCCTGCCCCGCTCTCTCCCACCGCCCCAAACTCACCGGCGGTTTCAGGGAGCCCCCGTCCGTCTGCGCCTTCGAATCTGACGTATGAGACGAGAGCCGAGTGCATGCCCTCCCCTGGCACGTGCTCGCAGTCCGTGGGGACCTTGCTTTCCAGCAACTGTCATCAGTTTGGCTCCAATAAACTCGCAAATTCTTACAGGTTTGGGCGTTTCTTACGTTGGCAGCCTCAACCCTTGTGGGTCGGCCAGGGCGTCCAGAACTGATGGTTCTCATGGGCCCCCCGGCCTCCCTCTCTCCCCGAACCCCTCCGGGGGGACTCACTGCCCTCGGCCACCTTCATCCTCAGCCGCAGAACAGCTGCCCTCGTGGGGTCACAGGGCTCCTGGCCTCCCACCCCCACCCGAGCCCCTGCCCCCGCCTCCCTGCACCCTTGGAGGTCGCCAGACACACAGGCGCACCCCTCTGCTCTGGGCCAGCTCCGTGGTGCGGGCGGAGGGTGGACTGAGGGTGCCTGTGTCCCCCTCCTGGTGGCCGGGGTGGCCCAGGAGGAGGCCTGAGGGGTGCACAGCGTGAAATTGTTGGGGGGTGGAGGGCTCTGTGCAACCAGAGAGAAGGCAGTGAGTTTGTAGCAGAGAACAGATGAGTGTGTCATTCATTTAAAAACACCATTTCCAGGACTCTGCATGTGTAATGCTTTTATTTTATTTCTTGTCAATCCTCACCAGAGGACATTTTCCCATGGATTTTTAGAGAGAATGGAAGGGAGGAGGAGGAGGAGGAGGAGAGAGAAACATCGATGGGTTGCCTCCTGCAAGGGCCCAGCTTGCTATTGTGCCCGACTTTGCACCTGTGATTTCGCATCGGTTTCCTTCGCCAGCCCTTCGCTCTGCAGGAGCTGAGCCCCGGCCCTGGCTGCTCGGACCTGAGCCCCCTGTGCCCGGCGGACTCCCGCCTCCTTGCTGTTTGTAAGGCGGCTCCCCTGGTCTCGAGGAGCCCAGGTCTGGTTGAGAGGGGACCCTGGAGTCCACGAGGGGAGGAGAGAAGCCCTTTATTTCTGGCAAGCCTGGGTCAGGCCAGGTGACTCAGCACACAGTCCACCGGCCAGGCGCGCCCGCTGCCTGAGCCCAGCTGGTCCGTGTGAGGGGAAGGGCGGCTTGGTCTCTGGCAGCTCCCAGGGGCCGGGGGCAGTCCACGGGGTGAGCAGGGCAGCCTTGCGGGTGCGAGGCAGGCACGGAGAGCTTCCTGGGGGAGGCGCCAGGAGCAGCGCGGGGCAGAGGCCGGGGCCTGGCTCACTGGTAGTGGTTGGCGATGGAGATGGTGTTCCGGCGGCTGCTGGACATGTCTTCATAGATCACACAGGCCGTGCTCCTGTCCCGTGCCGAGCACATGTTCCTGATCTGCAA